GCTATCTGGCACGCCTGTGCCGCAAGAGGACATCAATCCAAAGGCATGCTTACCTGAGCACGACCCGTGCTGCATTCCATCATAAAGACTCAGAGCCTAGCATGCCCTAGCCACGCTATCTGGCACGCCCATGCCACAGATTCCTCTCTGGATGTGCCCTTGAGCACGGCCCATACTGAACCATCCTTAGAACTCAGGCTCTGACACGCCTAGCACAGCACGCCCGTGCTGAATATTACGTTTTGTTTTGAGCTGAGGACGCCAGCCAGTCCCTACCACTTGCAAGGGCGCATATAAGATGATTTCCTGACATGCAAATCAATTTCTAATCCTATTTAGGCGCATGGGAGAGTCCTAATTGACTAATTGAGAAGAAATTCAAAGCCTAAACAGTTTCCGATTTTCAAAAGATTTCTTACTTAATGAAGACTCTATTTCCTAAACGAAATCGGATTTTCTCCTAGGAAGTCTATATAAGAGAGAACAGATTCATTGTAAAAAAATCTCTGGTTCTATTATTTTCTCTCTCTCTCTCTAAGATTTAAAGTTCTCTGGATTTGTGTCAAGATTCAAAGAAGCCGTCCAGAATTATTTGTTGACTAATTTTTATCTCTAAACTCTTAATCTTTTTTCTACCTTTCATCATTCATATTGATTATGAAATTATTTTCAAGTTTAATTGAGTTTTATTTAATTACTATGTCGAACTAAACTTTCATACTAGGGATTTGATGGGATTTGATGTAATTGAATTTCGATTCCAGATTTATAATATTGATTTGCTTTTCCCTTGTTCATGATATAATTTATTATTGAACTATGCTTCCAGGCAAGAGTTTTCTCCCCTAGATTGATTTATTTCATTAATCCTATCAAAGAAGGGTTTTTTTTGATATGAAAAAAGGTAATAAAATTACATGAGAATAATAACTTGATGCGAAAGCTATATGGTTTGACTCCATTGGGGGGTGGGGGGTTTCACAAGTTAAACGACTTAGGGGGGGGGGGGTTTCACAAGTTAACGACCTTAGATTATAAATTCACAAGACAAACCATAAAATTTAATGATTTAATTCATGTTTGATTGCGCTATTGGAAGATAGGTAATTAGACCAGGTTAAAATGGCTAACAATACATCGTGAGAGATTGATTATGAAACTAATAAAATAAATTGGATAGAATTAAGTGACATCAAAATTCCTAGTAGCTTTAAATCCTTGATTTCTTTTCATCAAATATTCTTGCTTGATTTCTTTTTGTTCGCTTTTATTTGTTTAATTTAATTTCTTAAAATAAATCTCCTTATTATCGTTTAAATAATAGTAGGTTAACACAATTTTGGTATTTGGTATACAATCCTCATGGAAACGATACTCTACTTATTTTATATTACTTGTTGCGACTTCGTATATTTGCAAAAAATCACTATCATTTGCTATCGTTGATGACACTACCAACTTGCGAGGCCATAATAGAGGAAGCAACAGTTAACTCATTTGAATTTGTATCAGTTTCTTGAATATTTTGTTTTTTTGATTATTTTCTATTTTTTAAAATCATGAAAATCTTCTATTTAATTATTATTGTTGAGATATCCTTAGGATGTGATTGTGTATTTCTCTTTATAAACTCACCGATCATAACAATAACAGAATACTTTCATCCATTCAATTTCTGTTAACTATTTAATACGTATTTATAGATGGTAATTTTAATAATATATTAGTAATAATAATAATAATAATAATAATCATCGTATCTTGATAATATAATCATATGCTAAGATTAGGAAGCCAAATTTTTAATTAAAATAATGTTAATGTTACTATCAGCAATAGTAACTTTGATAATAATGTATAAGAATATTGATAATAGTAACCCTAATGTTATTATCAATAATAATAATAATCTTAACATTTTTATTAATACTTAATCGTTAATATTTATAATAATACTAACAATGTTATTATCAATATTAGTGATTTGGATAATTTCATCGATAATATCTTTTCTTATGTTAATCTTTACTTTTACTTTTAAATAAAATTTTTATGTCTTTTTTTTTTCTTGCCCTAGTGCAAGTGTTTTTCTACAGATTAATGTTTGATTCTAGACATGGATACTTAGATGAACAACAATATATAGAGAATGATATGATTGTTATGAATCTATTGAATGATGAAGGAATGAAAATAGCTTTGGCTTTGTCGGGATCAATTGAAGAACCTCTAAATTATCAATTTAGTCTGGTTGGTCGGTTGCTAACAGATCGAAAAATTAACTTTGTTGTAATGAAGGCTTCTTTGGCTAGTACATGGCAACCTGGACGTGGGATTTGTATCACTGATATTGCTCCGGGGGTGTTCTTCTTCTAGTTTTTTCATTAGTGGACATTAATCGGGTGTGTGGAATGCGAGTTCGTGGTCTTTCGATAATCATCTACTGGTGTTGTAGAAAATTGAGGTTAGGATGGATGCACTCACTAAAACCTTATTTTTTTTTATCATTATTGGATTCAAATTCACAACCTACTTGTGGGCACAATGTCGGAAACTATGGCAAAACAACTAGGGCATTTCATTAGGAATTATATGGTGTACAATCCTAATAACAATACTGGTACATGGCGAACATATATGAGGATTAGGGTGAATGTAGATATGAGAAGGTCACTAAAATAGTGGAAAAGGATTCGACCATTAGATGGCACTGCCTCTATAGTGAGATTCTTTTATGAATGTCTTCCAATGTTTTGTTATTTATGTGGGAAGCTTGGACAAAATGAGTAGTACTATGAATTCCTATTCAAGAGTTCAGAGATTCTAGTGGAAAGGGGGGAGGGTCCTTGGTTGAAGGCTATTAATAGACAACAATCGGTGGTTTTCGATGATAGGCAATGGTTCCAGGACCATAAAGGGAATCAGTTGCATGATGGCTATGGGAACTACCCTAAGTTAGCGGCACATTTTTAGGGCAGAGATAACATTCATGGTTTTAGGGATCATGCTAATTTCAAATTTAATAAAGTTGGCGCTAATTCAATTGGGAGTAATAAAGCTAATTGGGTTAAAGAGAAAGGGAGCATGGAGTTAAGCTCAGAGAAGGGCCTAGGCCTAGAGAAGCGTGAGGATGATTTATTAGCCTTATTGCAAGGTAAAAATAGGCCAAGGAGAGGGTTGGGTACAAGCTGTTCCAATAAAATGCAAGTTGACGAGATGGATCAAATTTCAACAATTAATGAGATTTCGGGCCATGAATCATTTATTACTGAAAAGCAAATGGTGGAACCCGGATTACAGGCCCAAGGGGAGCCATGAGTTGCATAAGCTGGAATTGTTGAGGACTTGGCAATCCTCAGGCAGTGTTAGCTTTTAAGGAGCTAGTTTGTAGCCACAGGCTAGAGATCCCTTTCTTGATGGAAACTTTGGTTAATAAAAAAAATTGAAGAATTACAGGTGAAGTTAGGGTTTGATGGAGGTTTTGTTATGGATAGTAAAGGGCACGGTAGGGACCTAGCTATTTTTTGGAAACATTAGAATATAGTTAAATTAGTTAGTTATTCTTCTAACTATATTGACACACATATGCAGGAGGATGGAGGGGTGCTTTGGAGATTGATGGGTTTCTATAGGTTTCCTCAGCGAAGTAGAAGTCTTGAGTCTTGGGACCTTTTACATATGCTTGCTAGTATGTCATCTTTGGCTTGGGTATATATTGGGGACTAATGACCTGTTGTGTATTAATGATAAAAAGGGAGCTACTGATCACCCGCCATCGTTTTATAGGGGCTTCAAAGAAGCCACAGATTATTGCAATTTAATATATTTGCCAATGTCTAGTTATCCATTTACTTGGGCACGTGGGAGAGGAGCAAATTGACTTGAGGAGAGATTCAACAGATCACTAGTTTCTCAATCATGGATTGATATTGTTAAAGTTACAGCTACAACTATTGATGCAAGTGTTGTTGACAGTTTTTGGAGAAATTTTGTTAAAGTCATTTAGATTTTTTTTTATACTTTGTTGAAGTCTAGAAGTAGTTGAACTTGGAGAAATTTTTGTAAAGTCATTTGATTTTTTTTAAATACTTTGTTGAAGTCTAGAATAGTTGAACTACCTTGCTTTTAGGTAGGTTTTGGTGAACAACCTCCCTTGACTTATAGAAGTTGGTGAACACTTCCTTGACTATGGAGGGTTGGCGAACAAATTTAGAAATAAGGTTTTAGTATAAATATTTACAATTATGCTATAATGGAATTTGAGATGTGAATTATTTGTTTTCTCCACACTTACAAATCTGCAGATTCCCCCTTCTCTTCTGCAGAATTTTCCTCTCTTCTTATTTGTCTGCTCTTTCCTGTCTAAACCACAAGTGTATCAGAGCAACATTTGATCTTCCAAAGGGTCTAATGTGTGGTTGTGTTTTGGAGTGGAAAATCAATAGAGAAGCCACAAGTAAAAAACCAGAATGTGAAGTTTTCTGTTTTATGTTGCTTTTTCCTCAAATGGCTTCCAGCAGCATGTCTTCTTTTCAACACCTATTTTATGGGAAAACTACCATGTTTTGGGCTTGTGAAGATGAAGAGCTTATTTCAGGGGCTTGGATTATGGCAGTATGTGGAGGAAACAGAGTACCTCCACGCTCTTAATCAAAATCCAACCTTCATGCAAGATTAAGACAACATGAAGAAAGAGATTGCTAAGGCTCCGAAAGCTTTTAAATCCTTATCCATGCCAACTATTGCAGATCCGCTATCTTCAACAGCAAGATTATGGACATGTGAGACCAGCACATGAAGCTTGGAGAGTTTAAAAATTGAGTATCATGGATCTGAAACTAGACAGATGCAGGTATTTAATTATAAGAAAAGATTTTTGAAATGTTGAAAATGAAGGATAATGAAAAGGTGAAAGATTATGTTGATAGAGTTATGAAAATTTGTAACCAATTCGATTGTTGGGAGAAGAGTTAGAAGAGAAGAGAATTGCGGCGAAAGTTATGGTAACTCTCCCTGAAAAATTTGAAGCCAAGATTTCTTCTCTTGAAGATACTTGGAACATGTCACAAATATCATTGAATGTGCTTTTAAATGCTCTACAAGCTGTAGAACAAAGAAAAGCCTACAGGGAAGAAGAAACCTTGGGAGAGAAGGCTCTTGTAGTGACTCAACAACCAAAAATGAAGAACAATTTCAAAAAAAATTGGAGGAAAGACAGATTTCCACCTTGTCCACATTGCAAAAAAACAAACCACACTGAGAACTACTGCTAGTTCAGACCTAGAGCTCAATGTAAGGTTTGTAAGCAATTTGGTCACACCGAGAAAGTTTGTAGTTTGTTCTACAAACCAGAATCAACAAACACAAGCCCATCATGCACAAATCACCGAAAATTCTGAAAAGTATGAAGAACAACTATTTACTGCAAATGAAATCGAAAAATGTGATGTCTCAATTGAAGCTAAAGGAGCATGGCTAGTTGATAGTGGCTGCACTAACCACATGAAACCAAATTTGGAGAATTTCGATAGCTTGGATGCAAACTATTCTTCAAAAGTCAGACTTGGAGATGGTAGGCTTGTTGATGTCAAAGGCAAAGGAGATGTGATTGTACAAACTCCTTCAGGTACAAAGCACCTCCTTCAGGTACAAAGCGAGTTTCCGATGTTCTTTACGTACCGGAACTAAAATTCAAAGCTTTGTTTCGTTGGTCATTGCTGCGCAGATACAAGAATTACAGTTTGCTATTTTAAAAGATAAAACTTGGTGAAAAATAAGTGATCTTTTCTAAGCTCAAAGTGTATTTTTGGCTAATCAAAATGAAACAATGAGGAAGGCCTTTCCTCTAATTTAACGAAGATTGCGAAGAAGAATTCTTTGCTTGAGTCCATAAAGAAGAAATCTTGATTTGTGGCATAAGAGACTTGGTATTCCAAATCTCAATTCCATTAAAATTGCCGGCAATCCAAGGAGTTTTTGTTGCTGATTTGCCCATCTGTATTTGAAACAACAATGAAATCCAAAGCCTACAGAATTTTGAATCCCTGTTAACTAAAACAGGTGATAATGTCACAGGAGTGTCAAAAAATTCGATGAGAAAGGTGAATGGAATTGGAGTAAAATGGAACCAGAAAATTCTAAATCAGTTCTTGAACAAGATCATTTCCAGCAAGAGCAAGAACTTCCGGTTGATAATGAAGAAGAATCAAATGAAGATGATTATGCAATTAGAGGGACCAGATCCCTAGAGAAAATTTACAGCAGATGTAATGTTGTCTCACTTGAACCAACTCAGGTGGATGAATCCTTAAAATTGCCTAAGTGGAGAGCTGTCATGGAGGAGTAGTTGAAGATGATTATGAATTTTCATCAAGAGAATCCAACTAAAATACTTTGTGACAACAAATCAGCTGTTACTATAATTAAGAATCCAATCTTCCATAGAAAAACCAAGCATAAAAAAATCAAGTAACATGCAATACGTGAAGCTGAAAAGGAAAATAAAATTCAGGTTGATCATTGCAGTTATGAAGACCAAACAGCAGATATTTTCACCAAGGCATTGCAAAAACCAAGATTTGAATTTCTTAGGAATAGACTTGGTGTTTGTCTCAACTAACCCAAAGATTTGAATTTCTTAGGAATATGACTTGGTGTTTTGTCTCACAAGACCAAGAAACTCTATCTTGCATCAAGGAGGAGTGTTAAAGTTACAGCTACAGCTTTGAATGGCAAGTGTTTGTGACAGCTTTTTGGAGAAATTTTGTTAAGTCATTTAGATGTTTTTTTGTATCTTTTTGCGTTGAAGTCCTAGAAGTAGTTGAAACTTACCCTTGCTTTTAGGTAGGAAGTTTGGTGACACAAACTTCCTTGACTTATGGAGGGTTGGTGAAAGCAAACTTTAAGAAATAAGTTTAGTATAAAATATTTACATTATGCTGTAATGGAATTAATGAGATCGTGAATATTGTTTCCTTCCACACTTTAACAAAATCTGCAGATTTCCCTTATCCTCAGAGAATTTTCCTTCTCTTCCAATATTTGTTTCTCCACACTTACAAAATCTGCAGATTTCCCTTCTCTGCAGAATTTTCCTTCTCTTCCTTAATTTTCTACTCTTCTAAACCAACAGATATATTCTCGAGTAATTTATTGATGAACTTAGTGGCCTCTATTTTTTATCGTTCCCCTCTGTTACTATTATTGAAGGATAAAGGAAATCATTGAGTTATTTGCAGATTCCAGTTTGAAAATGCATGGGTGAACGAGCTAAATTTTGTAGATGTTGTAGTAAGTTCGTGGGTTGAGTATAATGAAGCTAAGTTGCTACTAAATTAATAAGTTATGAAGCAGACTCTCAGAATGTGGAGGTGATTTGCTCTAATGCTTTAGAAAGGAAACTCATAGGCTAAAGCCGGAGATGGACAGATGGCGCAACAATGGTACTAACGTTGCTATCAAGGAATATAATAGGTGCAACATTGAATTGAACATAATATTGGCATAGGAGGAAGCGTTCTGGAAACAGAGAGCGAAAGTCCGTTTGTTGCAATATGGAGACTTGAATAGTAAATTCTTTCTTGCTTCTGCTTCCAATAGAGCTCTGTTAAATCGTGTTAGATGGCTATATGATTCGGGAGGCAACTGAGAAGATGGGGAGGATGTAATGGCTAATTTGGTTAGACAATATTTTCAGGAGTTATTCTTGGGAATGCAAACAGATGCAGATAGGGTGGTACAAGAGATAGAACTGGTTATCTTAAAATGCACATAATGAATTTTTACTTGGGCCTTTTGAGAATAATGAGTTTAAAAATGCACTTTTCCAAATGAATCAAGATAAAGCACTTGTAGTCGATAGGATGAATCCATATTTTTCAGAAATCATGGTCTATTGTTAACAAAGATGTCATCACGGCTTGTAAAAACTGGCTTAATATTGGTGCATTTCCTTCTAATCTTAATAATACAAATGTAGTATTAATTCTTAAAATGGCTAATCCGTAGTCAATTAAAGATTTTAGGCCAATAGCTCTCTGTAATGTGGTTTACAAAATTATCTCTGAAGTTGCCAGTAGGTTTAAGCTTGTTTTAGATAAAGTTATATCTAGTTCGCAATCAGCATTTGTTCTTGGAAGGTTGATAATCGATAACATTATGATTGGCTTTGAGGTGATTCATGCCATGAAGCGAAAATATAAAGGAAAATATGGGATGGTAGCTTTAAAAATAGACATTAACAAGGGATATGATAGGGTTTTATTGAGGATATTTGAAGGTGATCATGGGAAAGTTTGGATTTCATTCTAAATGGGTGGACTGGATTCTGATGTGTATTTCTTCTATGAGATACTCTATTTTTTTTAATGGGTTGGAAATTGGTCCTATTGTGCCTGAAAGGGGACTTAAGGAAGAAGAACCTTTGTCGCCTTATTTATTTATTTTATGTACCAATGGTTCATCAGCACTATTGCGTAATATGGAGCTAGGGGGAGTTGCAAGGGTGTAAAGTTACAAGAGCAGCGCCTAATATTTCACCTATCTTTTTTGCAGATGACAACTTTTTGTTTTTTAGGGCTTAACCTCAAGAAAGTAATGTGATAAAAAGTATTCTTGGTTAATATGAGAACGCGTCAGGCCAAGCAGTGAATTTCCAAAAATCAAGTATTTTATTTAGCATTAATGTTGGATAGAAATTGAGGAATCATATTTGTGCTTCCCTTGAAGTGCATAATCCGTTGAGCCATAATCGTCTTCTGGGGCTACCATCTCTAATTGGTAAGAAAGGAGATTTTTTCTTACATTAAGATCTACTATGGAAGGTTACACAAGGATGGAAGAGTAGGTTTTTGTCCAAAGCATGGAAGGAGGTCTTATTAAAGTCAGTTGTTCAAGCTATTCCTATATATGTTTTCTATAGGTGTTTTTCTTTTGCCTCTTTTTGTATGGAATAAGCTGTAGAAAGTGATGAATGCTTTCTAGTGGGGATCGAAACTAGTAGATAGAAGAGGTTTGCACTGACTCAGGGGGAACAATTATGTGTTCCTAAATGTCAGGGAGGTACGAGATTTCGTCATCTTTATAGTTTTAACTTAGCACTTCTTGGTAAACAAGGTTGGCGTCTTATGTCAACGCTTGTTCTCTTCTTGCGAGTGTTTACAAAGCTAAATATTATCCTATGATGGATTTTATGGGAGCAACCTCAGGGAATCATCCCAGTTTTTTATGGAGGAGCATCTTGGAAGCTAAAGACTTGCTAAGGAAAGGTGTTAGATGACGGGTTGAAAATGGTAGTCAGATTAATATTTGGAAAGATCCTTAGCTGGTGTCGAAAAATTCTTTTCATATTTCTTCTCTAGTCATCGATGGGTTTAGAGAACTGTGTGTTGGGGATTTGATGAACTTGGGTAATATGTCATGGAATGTAGATCTTGTCCGTGGTCTTTTTCTCCCTCAAGAAGCAGAATTAGTTTTAAAGATGCTTTCAAACTTTCGAAGGGTGGAGGATTCTAAGAACGGAGTTTATGAGGTTAAAAGTGCTTATCATATGGCTATAAAGGAGATGATTGAGGATCATTATATGGGTAATCTATTGCTTTGGAAGAAGATATGGGCTATGGAAATCCCTTCTAAAGTCTGAAACTTTTTGTGGAGGCTTGTAGGGTCATTCTTCCAACTAAATAAAGGTTGAACAAGCGAGGTATTCACATGTTAGAGGGATGCGAGATCTATGGTGAACAGGGAAGCTTAATTCACACTTTAGTTTAGTGCATTAAAGCGGCATTATGATTATTAAATCTGAATATTTCTTTTCATAGTCTCTCAGACTTGAACTTTGCAGCTTGGTTTAACAACTTAATTCATATATGTGATGTAGCAAAGGTGCAAGAAACAGTTATTCTCCTATGGTTCATTTTGTACCATTGAAATTTCGAAATTTTAAATCAGTCTGATATGAATGAGGGGGAGATTATCTCTAAAGCTGTAGACTTTTTAAGGGATTGGAGTGCTGCACAATTGCAGAAGGGTGGCAATAGGCAAGTGGGAGCAAAAGATGTATTTTTAAGATGGAAACCACTCGCTGCAGGAGTCCTCAAATGCAATTTGGATGCGCCAATAATGTAGATGATTCCAGCTCTAGGTTTGGTGCAATCGTAAGGGATTTTTGGGGCCATTTTGTGGTGGGTATCTCTGGTTTCGTTTATGGAATTAACTCTCCAAAGTTTGCAGAGATAATGGCTCTTAGGGAGGTGCTGTCATGGTTGAAGAAGTAAGACTTGGGAGTTGTTTTTGTTGAACTGGATGCTCAAGTAGTTGGTTTAGCTACTGACTCAACAAACAAGGACTATATTGAATATGGGCTTATGGTGGAGGACTGTAGGAAAATTATGATGGAAGCTAATATATTTTCTTTAGCTTGGTGTAGCTTGTTTTAGTGTTGGTGTAACATTTTGTTTGGATGAAATGAGAGGGATCATCAACGTAAGGTATAGTAAAATATGATAAGAGAAAGTTTAATAAATGTGTTTTTTATATTTAGGGAGAACTATGTAAATGAATATTTAATAACATTGTTTTGTTTGGTCCAATGGTATGTTAAATATAAAGATCACGAAAATACCATTGTCATGAAAAATTTATTTTTTTTCAGAAAATAATAATTTATTGGATATTAAAATAGTTACTTCTAAATTATATTTTAAGCATGTCAACAAAAAATTTACTGAAAATTAAAATATGATGATAAAATGCATTTTTATAATAATATAAATTATTTAAATATTAATTATTGTAAAACGTGATTAAATATTTGAGACCTTTTCATTTTTTTCCAATACTTACAATTAAGCAAATTATCAATTATTTTAATTGATAATATATTTGTTCATTATTGTAAAAATAATTCTTTGCCATTTTATTACTAGAGTAAAATAATAATTAAGCCGTTAACAATAATAAATAAATTTTTCAAATAACAATTTTACGCGTCCGCCTCGTGAAATGTCCGCTGTAACTTAAAACTCCGTCAAAAAAATATCTCAGAGATAGAAACGCAGTTTATCAATGCTTAGACCGCTGAGAGCTGAACATTCTCTGTAATGATACTTCATAAGGCAGCCATGGAGACACTTTCGTCATCATTCTCCACCACTTTCGCCTCCTCCATATCCAACAAACTTCAAATTCAAACTTCCACTTCGTATATCAAAATTCCTAGTCCAATAAACAACAACCACAAGCATACAAAACTCTCATTATCCTCTTCTCAATCTTCTATATTTTCTTCATTAACCAGGATAAAAGCAGCGCCCACGACTGCTACCCCTTTCATTTCCCCTTCTGCTTCTACTTCTATTAAATCTGAGAACCGCCATTGGATGGTACTTATGGAGAGTCCGCCACCAGGGGTCGATTCTAAGCCAGAAATCGTTGACTACTATGTCAAGACGCTAACAAGAGTTTTGGGCAGGTGGGTTTATTCCAATACTTAAATGTTTCTCGGTTTTCGGTAGTGAATTTACTTTCTTTGTTGTTTTCAATAGTGAAAAGGATGCTCAAATGTGTATATATGATGTTTCTTGTGATACCCACTTCGGTTTTTGTTGTGATATCGATGAGGAAGCCTCTCATCTTCTTTCCAGTAAGCTTTTTGTTCCTTATTGATCGTTTTCTTTTATTGTTCTTGGCAACTGTTTAAATAATTTGATTATGCTATAAAGAGGGTGTAAAACAGTACATTGTGTTTATTTCCTTTGTCACTATTAGAGAAATTGGAGACTGCAAGAGGTTTGTTTGAGTTGTTAATTATTCTAAGTGGATAAAATTGTTATCCGTGTATGTTTTATAGGTTTGCCTGGGGTTTTATCAGTTAGGCCTGACCCAGATTATAATTCTGAGGAAAAGGACTATAGTTCAAGTAATCAATTGAGTAATATATCAAATTCACAAATTGGAAGTACAATGTTGTTTCCTGCTGGGAATACCAAACACTGGCTAGTTAGAATGGATAAGCCTGGAGTTGGAGTTGTTACAAAGGCACAAATGGTTGATTATTATGCTGGAATACTGACCAAGGTTATGGGGAAGTAAGTATCACTGTCTGAACAACAATCTGTTTCTTATTGTCACAATCTGTTTATTCCAAAAGTGAAATTTTGATTACCTGCAGTGAAAAGGATGCACAAATGTGTATATATCATGTTTCTTGGCGATCAAATTTTGGGTTCTGTTGTGAACTTGATGAGGAATGTGCACGAGAACTAGCTAGTTAGTTTATTCCATTTGAACTGTTGTTTTTTTGTTGAATGTTTTATGCAGTTTTAAGGAAAAAAATGCTTCCATATTTTTGTAGGTGTACCTGGTGTTTTATCTGTTCATCTAGATAAGAATTTTGCGTCACAAAATAAGAATTATGGAGGTGTGTCCTCTTCTTTTAATGAGATAAGTTTTTTTCCTTTTTATCTTATTTTTGTTGGCTGCCTTGAATATATATACACATTGCTTCCATGCTTCATCATTGTTTTTTTCTTTTCCCAATAGCAAGTAGTTAGATATAATTTTTATAGTTTATCATTTTTTACTGCTAATTAAATATCTTCTTCTCAAGGGGGCATACAGGACCAACATTGAGTGTCACCTTTCCTTGTATTTATCATCATAATGACGTGACTTTGAACATACTTGCAGGGTTTTGATTTTTGAGAATTAGCTTTGTAGATTCTTCATGATGCACATAGAAAATATCAAACAGGCTTTAGGGAGGGTTATAAGCTTCATAACCCTACAGTTTGGTCAGTTCTATGGCCAAATAAAAGAAGATACAGAGACGAATCTTGTTGTTCGTTTATTCATGCATATGATGCATAAAATTGATGTGATTTATGTTGAAAATTAAAATTTGGACAAAAAAATAATGTAATTGTAGAATTTTGGCTAATGACATAAAGAGCTTCTGACCTACTGTACTGAAAAAGAATAATTATTGTGAAATGTTCTTAGCTGAGCTTAATTGATAGTATTGGAAATTTTATCTTGTGAAGAAATTTTAGAAGGTATGAGATGATACCCACAGAGAAGCAGATGAGCAAAAACAACTGGCATATGCTAAGAATCATGAAAAAGGTAGCAATTTGTGGAAATGTGCTCAGAACTTAGGTTGCATTGTGATAAAAAAAATTGATTGGCATTTTAGTTTTTAGTTCTAATTGTACAAGTTGTTTGAGAAAAAAGTGAACAAGGCTTTGTACTTCCAGAAAAAGAGAATTATAGTCTAACTAATCATAGAGTGCATTTGTAATTGCGCATTTTTCTAAGATAGTAAACATGCAATAAGAGATTTAACAATATCAGAATAATTTTATGATTTTCAGCTCAAATGATCTGTTCTATGTTTTGGCCCCTTAAGGAAAACTAATTACTTATACTTTTAGCTTTATGCCACTGAGAATGCTATTGTTTTGACATTTTTCCCCCTGTAGTTAACAATTGGAATTTTCCAGGTGATAATGTTGAAAATTCTGTAGTTCAGTTGGATTCTTCAGATAAAAGTCAAATAACTCCTGTGAAGACAAAGAAACTTTTTGTGACTGGTATGTGGCGTCTTCAAACAAAAGAGTATTTTATGTTTTTTAACATGTTTGTTTCTTTTTTTTTTTTTTTTTTTTTATGTGATTTTATTGGTTGAAAATTTAGAATTTTGGGGACAAAAAATAATGTTAATTTGTAGAATTTTGGCTAATGACATAAAGAGCTTTCTGACCCTACTGTACCTGGAAAAAAGAATAATTAATTGTGAAAATGTTTTTAGTGAGCTTAATTGATAGTATTTGAAAATTTTATCTTGTTGAGAAATTTTAAGAAGGATGAGATGGATACCCACAGAGAAGCAGATTGGAGCAAAAACAACTTGGCATATGCAAGATCATTGAAAAAGGTTTAAGGCAATTTGCTTGGAAATGTGCTCCAGAACTTTAGGTTGCATTTGTGATAAAAAAAATTGCATTGGGCATTAATTAGTTTTTCAGTTTTCCTAATCTGTGACCAAGTTTGTTTTCTGGAGAAAAAAGTTTGGAACAAGGGGCCTTCTTGTACTTCCCAAAAAAGAAATTATAGTCTAACTAATCATAGAGTGGCATTTTGTAAATTGGCGCATTTTTCTAAACGATCCCAAGATAACACATGCAATAAGAGATTTAACAATTATCAAGAACTAATTTTTATGATTTTCAGCTCATAATGATCTGTTTCTATGTTTTGCGGCCTTAAGGGGAAAACTAATTTATATCTATACTTATTAGCTTTTCTTATGCACTTGAGAATGCTTTGTTTGACCATTTTTTCCCACCCTGGTAATGTTAACAATTTGGGATTTTTCCAGGTGATAATGTTCGAAAATTCTGTAGTTTTCAGGGTTTGGATTCTTCAGATAAAAAGTCAAAACAAACTCCTAGGTGAAGACAAAGAAACTTTTTTGTGGATGGTATGTTTGGCGTCTTTTCCAAACAAAAGATGTTATTTCTTATGTTTTTTAACATGGTGTTCTTTTTTTTTCTTTTTTTTTTGTTTTTTTTTTTTTTTTTTTTTCAATTTAAAAAAACTTAGCTTGCAAGTGGGCTCAAAATTTCTGTTATAATGACATTTTGCGGGACTTATCTAATTTTTACATTATCCAAATCCAGCCTCTTCATTAGTTTACATGTTTTTTATCATCCCCTTAATATCTTTTAATTGGCATTGTTTTTGATTTATTTTGATTTAGATTTGTGAATTATATGAATGCTTTTGCATTTTTCATATGTATATTGGAGGCATTAGCTGTATTTTGTAATATAATATGTTTGTAATAAAGATTATTATTGAACTTTGAAAAAAGATTTCTGTGAAATGTTCTCATTGTATTTTAAAGTTACAGAATCCAATACTTCACATTGTATAAAATTTTCATGGGAAACCAATAATTCGCGCGCGCGCGAATTGCTTGGAAATTCCATTCATGTTGTGAGATATGATTTCCTTTTCGGCCCAATTCCAAAAAGAGCTTTATCTTTTGCTAATGCCGTTGGGCATAATTTACAACCCAGGTTTTGGGTCATTCGTATACTTTTTTTTTTTTTTTTTTTTTTTTTTTTTTTTTTTTTTTTTTTTTTTTTTTTCAATTAAAAAACTAGCTTGCAAGTGGCTCAAAATTCTGTAAATGACATTTGCTGGGACTTATCCTAATTTTAACATTATCAAATCAGTTTCATAGTTTACATTTTATATCCCCTAATATCTTTTAATTTGCAATGTTTTTGATTTATTTGATTTGATTTGTGAATTATATGAATGCTTTTTGCATTTTATATGTATTTGAGGGCATAGCTGTATTTGTAATATAATATGTTTGTAATAAAATTATTATTGAACTGAAAAGATCTTGAAATGTCTCATTGTATTTTAATACAAATAATACTTCAATGATAAATTTCATGAACAATTTTATTCAGTTGCTGAATTCATTTCATGTTGTGAGATATGATTTCTTTCGTGCCATCCAAAAGTTTATCTTCTGCTAAGTGCTTGGGCATATTTACAACAGGTTTGTCATTCTATACTTCTGAAAAGACCTTGCGAGCAGCATTTGAAGGCTTTGGTGAGCTTGTTGAAGGTACATTTTTGCAGTCTCACTTCTTTGACAATGCTGAATCAGTTTTGCTTATACTTACAAAGTGCTAATTGTGACAGTTAAAATAATAATGGATAAAATCTCTAAAAGGTCGAAGGGTTATGCATTTATAGAGTACACCACAGAGGAGGCTGCAAGTGCAGCACTCAAAGAGATGAATGGAAAAGTAAGATTCAACACAAGGCTTTTTTCTTTTTTCTTTAGCTCTAATAATACTCGGCAAGTGGGCTGAGCTGAACTTCATTATTTTCGATTCCCAGATTATTAATGGATGGATGATAGTGGTTGATGTTGCCAAGAGCAACCCTCCAAAATACAGCAAGGGTCGTCCGAGACCAGTAGCCTGAGAATGAGAGAGCTGACTGCTGGGATGGTGGATTATTCTTTAAACAAGTTAGCCGAAATTTCCCACATTAGGATTCTTACTTTGTAAAAGGTTTACTCATTTTTATGAGCTTCTCATTACAGTGTAGGCATAATTCATCATGTAAATTGTGTTACTTTTGCTCTATTACCATTTTTGAAATTTGAATAGTAGAAGTTAAAGCTTACTGTTTCTCACTGTGCAGAAAAGAAGCATATGGTTCGTTAATTGAAAGCATGACCTTTGTGCATTATTCTCTATTGAATTTTTCTTATTGATTTGTAATCCTAATTGTTATGGTTACTTAGATTTGTGTAAATGTAATATATTCTATCTTTAAAGGAAGAGGGGGAAGAAACTTAATATATATACTCAGATTTGTGAAATGTACTCTAAAATTCTTGTTTACTCAAATGCTCTTAGAATCACCTGGTACAGGCCAGGCCAACAGAACAAAAACATAAAAGTAGGATCCTTGATACATGTACACTTACCGCTGGAAATATCACTTCTGCTGATCTATATTTGATGGCAAACAATGTACATTTTTTTATTGTATTTTTAACTATGTACATTATGTAACCAGCATGTATAATACTAATCAGGTATTATCTTCTGCCAAAAGTTATCAGCCCTCTTCCCCAAACTCCTTTGTGAATCTTTCATGTACTTCAAGATCAGCTTTACTCACTGTTGGCTTCTGCCTTGCAAGCACTTTATCGAAATCTGCTCTTGTTATCGGCGGCGGAAGGATCTGAATTCCCAATCAAACCACCTTTTTAAGTCAAAGGACATAATGCTAGTGTGATCATCAAACTACAAATCTGTCCTATTAAAAAAGGCATATATAACAATCTTTCGCCCACAAAATGCACAATAACTTTAACAGAAAATAAATAGAAATTAAAAATGGTAAATTGCATTCAGAAATGCTTAACTTAAAAGTTCTAGTTCAGTCACGACAGTTCAATGTTTCCCAGTCAGACAACCACTCTTTTATTTCGTGACTATAATTATATTCCAGAATCAGGAATCTGTAAACCTGTCACCAAAACTGAATGGAAAAACAGATGCAACATAATCCATTGGCATAGACTGCCCAATCAGATTCATTTTGACTGGGGAAAAAATAATCTGTTAATTATAAAGGTAGTTGATGTGACATCTAGGTGGTTGCATAAAAGCCCATGCACTTGCTAACAAGCATTGTGTCATATTTCTTCATAATAACAGCTTAAACGCAATGAACTAAGATTTCAGAATGAACTGAGATTTAGGAATCAATTTGGTAACCGTAGGTGCAATTCACTTAACTATTATCATTTGATAGATCAATGAAGAATAAGTCTTCTGTGTACCAAAAAGTTTAGTGTTGCCATTTTTTATCATATGCAACATTTTTTTGTTTATCCCGTCCATACCTTTGAAGCAAGGCCTTGTTCATCAAGTTCCTCTAGTGTGATCTTGATAGCTCCTTGTTGGGTTGGTTCACAAGGCAGCCACATGCCATCAGAAGTCTCCATAAAATATTTAGCATCTCGGGTTTTACGAACAGGTTCAAAGAGTACATCTTTAACCTATCAAATGAGTACAAGAACAAAATGAGAAAACAGGAAATAGCTAGCCACTTCTGTCTTTTCATTAACCTCTCAAATGAAACTTATTAGTACAGTACTGTAATATTTGAAGTAAACTGACACTCACACAAACAGAAATATCTGAACCTGAAAATCCTTCTGTTTCCTGAGCCAAGTGCTCAAAATCACTTTCAGTTAAGTTGTGGGGAGTATCTCCAAGATGCACCTATTGATGACTCATATCAGGTTCCAGAAAAGACAATAAAAAGGTCCTAAACTACAGAAATGTATTTTACTATGATATTTTAATAGGCCTATACAATTTGAAAAACATAATACCTTAAACATATGTTGCCTTGCCTTCAAATCTGGGAGAGGAATGTATATTCTCTTGTCAAAACGCCGCCGAATGGCCTGTTGTCCATTTTGCAAGAAAACTTTACTGATATTATAAGACAATTTTATTTGTGAACATGGAAGTCTAAAGGATGAGGCTATTCTCACCTGATCCAGAGCATAGGGAGTATTTGTGGCTGCAAGAACAAGAACTTTATGATCATCATTCCCTATACCCTGGAACACATAAAAGATACCCCTCAGTATGAGGTGGAACAGAAACTGAAAGTGCACAAACCCCAATTTTGGATAAAAGATACATGCGTTTTACCAAACAATATTCCAGTTAAAACACCCAAGAGGAGTGAGGCAGTTTTACTAATTCCAAAAACTAATATCATGAGAAGAATAAAGGCAGAAAAATTCATAATCTCTGCACCACTATGTACAAGAATGCTGATGAAATAAAAGAGATATAGGGCTCATGCTAGGGCTTTCAAGTTACAGTGGTGTTAACTTGTGTCAAGGGACTTGAGTTAAGAGACACGATTAATTCGGTGGTGACCTGGTTAAATTGCATATTCATGCACCTAAAGTTAACATAATTATCAAACAAAGATATAGACTAGTCTATTTACACAGTTACACACCAGTAATGAAACCAAGCGCAAACCTGACGTTTTGAAAAAGGGGCTCAAAATTGCAAGTTTTCTCATGCCGATTTGTGTGACTTAGACGAGGGCAAAATCTATGCATTAGCTTGAGGGGGAGCATAGTCGAAAAATTTTGAGACTTGATTACCTAGAACACAGTACATTGCAGGTCGTGCTACAGGAACAGGGTCAAAATATACAACTTAACATTTGGTAAAAAAAGGAAGACTCAGTCAGAGTACACGAATTAGAGTAGTTGGGCTGATTCATGTATTCCTTTTAAATACTAGAATAGTATAATTGATTTTATTATAATCTTATTTGACATGATATACTTTAAAAAATGAGGAAATTGATACCAATAGGTGGTATATTGTCAACAACATCGACTAAGCTAATTGGGGTCGGCTATACGAGTCTTTTATTTGCATTCTGCTCTGTTCATAGCTAAATCCGCAAAAATCTCAAGAAACAGTAGATCTTTTGCGACAATTTCCACCCATATAGTTCTAAGTCCATCACTTTCCTTTTTAGCATCCTCCACCAACAATGTATCACACTTACGAACTGGAGCACATGATGATTTACGTAATACATAACTAAATTATGTCAGACGTCCTTCTTTCATTATTATTATGGCTGTTCAAACAAAAGTCTTGAAACAAATTTTAAAAATCATCCTAATAGTATGGATAAACATTGATTAACCCATCACTAAGCCTAAAATACAAAATTATTAATTTTTCTCAATTAACATTAAATTACCCAGCTATTAGAAAGGCTATTATCATAACATTGATTAAGCCTAGAAAATAAGAAACAATATTTTTCTCGCTTAATATTAAATAGCCTAGATATTAAGAAGAGCCAAACTTTTATCCTTCTCAACTCCTCCATTCTTTTTTCCATTATTTATCTGCCAGATGGGGTAATCAAATGACACAAACCAGAATGTGTACCACCAAGTTCTGGACTGCGGAAGTATTGCAATTCAATGTGCACCATAGTACTTTCACGATGGCAATGTATTAGGTAACTATGGTCACAGACAATAATGCCATGAAATCCCTCCTACCATCCTATTGTTTCCTTTTCTTTCTTCTCACTCTTATCTATTATTTTCTATCCATATATTATCCATTAACTTGTCTAAAAGAATCACAGTTGGTGAAAGTCGACTCTACCAGAACATGAAGCCTGAATCTTCTTCCTACAATACCCCTTAGTTGGATTTTAAAAATTTTCTTTAGTATTTTTTCTGTGTAATCAAGATGGTTTCTTCATTTATATTTCTAACTATTTTAGTTCTTCAATCCACATGTATGCCAAAACGCAGTACTTTAGATCAAAAGAAGAATAGTCTTGCTGACCACAATTACATTTTCCTACTAGTTTGAACAATCTATATGTCCAATTACATAAAATATTCTGAGATGTCAATATCCCATCAGAAAGCAATTACTTTTTCTCCTAGAGCATACTTGCAGAAAACAACAGAAATTCCATATTTTGCACAGAAGAAAATAGAATACACACACACACACACACACACACACACACATGTATGCACTTACGTAGAGTAATAATGTTACTCCCTATGTCCCAGAAAGATCGTCCACTTCCTATTTTCGCACAGATTAGGAAATATGGTTCAATGACAACTTTATTCATATAACTTTTCAATTATGCCCATCTTAAATAGAACATGAGCAATTATTATATTTGAAAAATAAGTAAGAATTAAAGAAGGTTATTGAAAAAAAAGATAAAATTTCATAAGGGTATAATAGACAATTTAATGATTAACTCTAATACAAAAAAGGAAATGAACTATATTTTGGGACAAACCAAAAATGAAAGATGGATTATCTTTTTGGGACGGAGGGAGTACTATTGAAATGAGAACCATTTTGGTCTTTATCCAGAAAATGCAACTTACCTGCATTTGTACAAGAAGTTCTGTTTTGATGCGCCGAGATGCTTCACTCTCATTGCCTTCACCCCGTTGCCCACATAATGAATCAATTTCGTCGATGAAAATGATAGAAGGAGCACTGTCACGAGCCATTCGGAAAAGATTTGATACAAGCTTCTCACTTTCACCCATCCACTTGGAAACAAGGTCTGAGGAAGAAACACTGCATATAGATGAAAACGCTTAAAAGCAAACAAAATTAAATTTGGAGGAGACTTGTAATTAAAGAAGTTTTGGATGTTCAGGCTTACAATCTAACATACATGCATCTAAACAAGAGATGTCATAGTAGTTGCATGAGTGACTTCCTTATAACAATAAGTTTATAGACATAAAATACTAGGCATATATCTGATGAAAATTCTTTTCCAGGATTCAATGACATGATATTAACAAGAAAAGATAAAAGGAAAAGGACCTCGGACATTCACTTAAAAAACAGAGTGATACACATGAGAAAACAATAAGATATCATGTGTGGTAACCAGTCCTCGTGCTGTAAACACAAATTAAGAATACTGAATATTTGACCATAAAATCCTCGGCTCATTATGGACCTTCCCCTCCAGATTAAGTCAATATCCCCGCTAAGATCATTTATATAAAATGAATAGCCAAATAAACTTAGGCTCAGTTCTTCTGAATGGCATTTCTCTTGCAAGTTCGTGGCGCCATCTAACCCAGTTCCATACAAGGAAATCTGGCTCTAATGCCTCGAGCATGTCAACTTTCATCCAATAAAGATAGCACAGATTCTATGGAGTCAAAGATTCAGCATATGATATTGATCCATTTATTTGGGGAGATACCACCAAAATTCTGTGCAAGTAATATCCATCATAGATAGAGAGTTGCACTCAAATGAAGGTGCTGCCAAGGATACAATCATTTTACAGAGTTTTTTTTCTTTTTTCTTCTTTTTTTTTTAAATGCAAGATCCAGTAACACTTCTCCGGAATATGTCATCAGTGGTCCAGCTATTAAATTTCAATTCTCAATCTTTCATTTCTCATCCTTTACACTCGTCATATCCTTAATCTGCTGAAAATGCTCCACAATCCCACACTTTTTAAGAGAATGACATTTTAAAATATATTAAAGGAGTTCGTAGTAGACTGACAATTTTTAAACACAATAATCAAAATGTGAAGGTGAAAGTACAAACAAGATACATAATTGAAAATGCATAAAATGCAGAAATTCTTGCTAGATTGGAACAGCAAAGAGCATCTTGAAAAGATCTGAAGATCAGATATCCCTCTGCTATTAATGGAGGTATATGCTAAATTGTGGTCTGTGATTGGCTGTATTACCTAAAGAAAGTTGAATCTGCTTCTGTTGCAACAGCCTTTGCTAAGTATGACTTACCTGTTCCAGGAGGACCGTATAACAAAAAGGCCCTCCAAGGTTTTCTCTTCCCTGAAAAAGAAGCAGACCAATGAATATACATCCAGATTTAGGACATTAACAAATGCAACAAAATTTTACAAAATAAGGATGAAGTTGTCTCATTCCTTAGATTTTGTTGCTGAAATCTGGAAGCACTTAACTAAAGTCATGACTAACAGGGTCATTTGCCCTATGATGTTGCGTGCTGAAGAGTTAAATTACTGTTTACTTATTAAAAAACAAAAGAGTCATGTTTTCCGACATAATTAATCTCTTAAAAAAAATACAAATATTTATATATATCCTGTAAAGTAGTCAAATTGTAAATTTATTGTCTATAAAGTGGTAAGTGTATACCCATGAAATGGTTCCATTTTGAGAAAACAAGAACAAGAAAATGGAAGGGTGTAGACTTCATCGCACCAGTTACTATAAAAGAATAACTTTGATATCTCCCAAAACTGATCTCAAATTCACAGCAAGCATGTTATCAACCAACCAGGCAATAAACACGCTAGATTTTGACTTCTAACTTAAGAATGTAAACTTCAACTCAGTTTATCATTTTTTTTAATCTCACAACATGTTTGACACCCCAATAGTGTCAGATCAGAAGTAGGAGGCTATTTGACAGCTGAATCTATCATACCATGTCCTTGTATGAATTTATGTATGTACCTTTCAAATGCATACTCTGTATGTGTTTGCTTATACACTCATAAATACAAATCCATACATTCCTCTTCTCCTAATATAAAAATTTCAGTAAAGTTGGAGTTAACCTTTCAGTTGTTGCATTTCATGAAACACATGGTAATAATATATGTGCAAAGACTATACACTATCATTGGAAGGAGCAACCACTTGAATGAACAATTGCGTATTCCATTTTAACCAAATCAGTCAAACAATTATAAGTTGAAGAAAGAAAATACAACTTTACAACAGAATAGTAAATGAATTTCAACTAGCCAACTGTTGCCAACTTCAGGAACTCTTATCTATGGTGATTTGTTCATGCCACCTTCTTAGATTTTACAAATATATAGGAAACAGCAATACACTGAACAAGAAACCAAAAGCAGAACATACAGTTCAAAACATTATGATAAAGCAACTAACCAGTAAAGAACTGTGGGAATTTCACAGGCAATATCACAGCCTCTTGCAATGCCTGTTTGGCACTTTCAAGCCCAGCCACGTCATTCCATTTCACATTTGGCTTCTCCCTAATGATAACAGAATCAAGTCCAGCCCTAAGCTTTGCTAGCTCTGGATCCTCGTCTTTTCCTTCTACATCTTTGGGCTTTGACTTTGGCTTTGCCTTAGGATCTGTACCAGATCCATTCGAGGTGGGAACACTCCCCTCATTATCAAGAATTGCCCCAATTTCCTCTGCCCTCCTTAAGTATCCCATACATTTTTCCTTAATTGTTTTCGCAATCTGTGGATTCTTCTCATACTTAAGGTGGGCTTGGAAGTACTCTAACGCATTTTTGTAAAGCTGAAACGCTTTAGCATAGTTTCCAGCATCATCCTCTTTAACAGCATGCTTTGCATACTCTGCCCCATGTTCTATAAAATTGCAATACATTTTGCACTCACAAGAGACAAAATCAATCCTAAAAGAGATGGTTTACACTTAAAATCAACCCTTTTTCAACTCCCTGACTTTCTTGAAGTCTAGACTGTAAACCTTAAAGAATATGAAAACCTAATATTCCAATGAGCAATATGATCCCTTTAAGTTTTCAATTGTTTAAACATATACAAAACATTAATAGTGCTACAACTTAATCAAGCTACGCATTCAATACTTCAACACAATCAGGGCCTGAAAAACACCAGAAAACAGTCAAAATTAAATAATAATAAATGAAATCCAATGCATGAAAGAGGAAAACACTTCAAAACAATGAAGGACCCAAAATCACCAAAATTCAGTCAAAGCTTAAGAACCCAATACTCAAAATATAAAGTTGAAACTAGTTTTGAGAAACATGATGCTTTAATATACTACAACTTGTACATCTGCTTTTCTATTTACAAACAAGACAGGACCAAAACCCAAATTTGTTGCATTTTCATTTTGTCTTCTCTGTTTTTACCAATCCAATAAAGAAATTTTGATGTATTAATAATCTATCTGCAGTTCTGCAGCAAATAAGAAATAAAATAATAATAATAATAATAATAATAATAAATAAAGCGATACATAAGTTAGCGTAGCAGAAACGAAAATACCCATTAACGAGCTTGCCATTTGAGCCTCGATCACAAACGCATGCTGCTTGCTGCAAAGTGATGGTGCTCTGATGTTTGTGATTCGGGTGTTCCACATCATTAAGCAAGCCAGCCAATTAATGCCGGACAGGCCTTTGTCAGTTCAAAAATGGAAAATGGGCCACAAGCCCACAAATAACAACAATATAGTCGTGTATTAAAAAAAATATGGCAATAAAGGTCGTTAGGGTTAGCATTGCGCTAATTTGGTTGATTTGAGTAATATTTTTAACTGAAATAAATTAATTAAAAAAATTTTTTAATTTAATCAAATTTAACTGAATTAATTTTTAAGCGAACTTAATCGAACTGTTTTGACCGAATTAATTTTAATTATTAACTGAATTGAAGTTAAAGAAAATGAAAACTTAATTAACCTAAATTTATGATTAACTGACTTTAACCGAAATAAAAATTAATTGAACTTATTAATCACTACTTAATCAAAATAAAAATAAAAATAAAAATTTTTTAATTTTTTAATTTTATTATTCACTTAATCAAAACAATGTAGTTTTGAGAGTCGGTTAATTTGATTAATTAGTTTAAAATAATTTTTAACTTATAACTAAAAATTTAAATTTTTTTTACCAAATTTTTAATCGAACATTTATTCAACGAATTGAATTAACCGAATTAATTAAATTAATCACATTGACCGAACCGAATGCTCATTCCTAAATGTCATTTTTTAAAATTTTATTTTTAAAAAATATCAGTTTGACCTTAAATTTTAAAATAATATTATTTTCACTATTCATTTATTATTTTACCATTTTATTGTCATCATATTGTCCTTGTCGTTGTTGTCGTCATTGTTGTTGTTGTTGTCATGGTTGTCGCCTTTGTCGATTCCATTGTTGTTATCGTCGCTGATCACCGGAAGTTGATCGATGGACGCCGTCATCGTTTCTATTGCTGTTTGTCGTGATTGAATCACATAAGGTGTATAAGAATAGTTTGAGGATTATTGATTTATTTATTACCAATATTGACAATCTCTTAATTAATTTATTTATTTTTTGACATTTTATTAATATAGAAATCTAATTTTTGACATTTGTTAAGTTGCCCAAAAAAAATGCTTCTATATTATAATAATATATCTAGAGTGTAAAAATTCAGGCCGAGCTCAAATCCTTGAGCATCAAGTTCGATAAATATGAAATATTTAAGTTTGAGCTCAACTCTAATAATTTTGAGCTCAAGCTTGACTCGATGAATGTTCGAGGATTCAGTAAGGGTTAGATTTATTTATTTATTAAACAAGCTCAATTCGAGCAGATTTTTTAAAACTTTTTTTCAAGTCGAAATCGTATAGCTCACAGGCCCGCTTTGCTCGTATACATCCCTAAATATATCTATGCCAACAAAATGACGTGAATTTCTTTTTACAAAGAAAATCTAACTCTGTATTCTTTGGTTTTAATTTTTACAAGACATTTTGATTTTTCATTATTCTACGAGGTATACCATGAATTAAAAAAATTACACCAAATCATTAAAGTGTGCATTTTCTTTTCAATTTTAGTCAATTTAGTAATGAATATCGAAAATATTAGAACCAAATACTTACTTTTTTTTTGTTGTCTATAACCTCCGGTATTCAAAACTCCATTGGACTCCAGCTCCATTCAGCTTGATTACTGCAAGGATCATATAAATAAAATATATAAATCATACTCAAAACTTTTGATGAAGGGAGAAGTCCCAACTATTCGATTCCAACTAAATAATTATTTCAAATGAGAAATAAAGAGTTTTTCATAATTTATAAATACATTACGAAATATATAAAATTTTAATATGTCTATGTTTTCCTTTAAAACAATTTATATAAACTTTTTCCGATACCGGATAAAAAATTAGAAAGGAAATTTATTTAGGAACATAATATTTTATATTATTAGTACTGGAAAGATATTGGAATCATATATTAAAATATAATTAGAAGGAAGTTTATTTAGGAACATAGACTGTGAATTTTTTATAATTATTAGTACTGAAAGATATGGAATCAAAGTATATTGAGAGAAATAGATACAATAGGGTTATATATTAGTATGTTTATGTGATTTATAGTTAATATATATATAATAATAGTCAAGGTGTCTTAGATCATCGCTAATTAAATATTTATAATAGACGCAAAAATAGTAAGATGATTTGATTAATATGATTCCATGTTGCATCAGTAATGCATGCATGTGAGCCATGTAACTGAATTTCTATGTTGGATAATAATGAGTTATGTTTTTAATTTATGCTCACTGATATTTTGATTTTAAGAAACTATAATTTGAACGGGCCCAGTCTCAAGAAAAGCTATATATATCCGTATATATATAGTCTATAAACAATTTTCCTTATATCCGAAAAACTGTTACGAATCGCCTCAATGAAGTGAAACCATAACTGTAGCTTCCAAATCTGTTATCGTATATATATATAGTCAATGGTGTTCTAGAATTCACCTAATTAAAATTTATAATAGACTGCAAAAATAGTAGATGATTTGATTAATATATTCTATTGTTGCACAGTATGCATGCATGTAGCCAGGTAACAATTTCTTATGTATGGAGTAATAATGATTAGTTAATTAGCTCAACTGATCATTTGATTTAAGAAACTAAATTGAATTCCCAGTCTCAAGAAAAGCTATATATATCTATATATATAGCTATAACAATTTTCCATTCAAAACTACCAATCTCCTCAATGAAGAAACAAATTAGCTTCCATATCTGTTATCTTCTGCTCTGCTACTTGTATTCTTTTACAGGTAAATTGCCTTTCTTTTCACATCCTAAGTTACATGGTTTTCTTTCCATTAATGGTTTTATTTTCATCAATTTGAAGAAGTTGATGCAGTGAAAGAATCCCATAGAGAAAAATACCATCATCATCTTCACCAATATGGCTTAGTGAAGCTTTTTGTTTTTGGAGATTCATATGCTGATACTGGCAACTGGGAAAAGTCTGCTATTTCATGGAAACAGCCTTATGGGATCACTTTTCCAGGGAGACCTGCCGGTCGCTTCTCCGATGGCCGTGTCTTGACAGATTATATAGGTAACACTATAACCATTGTATAGAATAGAATCATATGGCTTAAGCAGCAAATTAAATTCTTGTTTAGAAAATCAAAATAGAATTCATTTCTCTTGTTTAGAAAGAATAGGATTAATGAAATCCTGTCCCTTTTATAAAACAAAATTAATAAAATTGTGTCTTTTAAGTTTAGAAAATGAGTCATTTTGGAGGAAAAGAAATTATATCGTAATTGACATTTGAAAGAAAACAAAGCAGTTTAGAATTAAAAACTCAAAATATTTTTTATTTGAGTTAAACAATGTTTTCATACAAATAAAGGTAAAATAGGAAAATAGTTACATTCATTTTGCCTCCAAATAGTATGTGCTTATATATGTGGAAAATGTCTTTCTGTTTAATAACGTTAGCTTGATTTAATGGTTGAAGTGCAATATATCTCACTCTAGTGATCGCTAGATTGAGTCGTGAAATCTGAATCTCGAGAAGAGCAAGTCCGAATTTTGGGAAGGACTTTTAACATAATCACTCGAATTTGCATATTAGTGAATCAATAGTTGCTTCCAATTTATAAACCTAATTGGTTACTTCCAATTACATAAATCATTACTTCAAAGACTCATTAAGTTATAATAAATATTTCTATTACTATTTATTGGAACACGCAGCTTCATTCCTGGGTATAGAGTCTCCAGTGCCTTATTCAAGATGGAAGCAAACCTCAAAAAAACAGAGTCTAAAGTATGGAATGAACTTTGCATATGGTGGGACAGGTGTGTTTGACACTTTAAACAAAGAACCAGACATGGGGACACAGATAAACCTTTTTCAACAGCTACTTGAAGAAAAAGTGTACACCAAACAGGACCTTAACTCTTCCATTGCTCTTGTATCTCTGGCAGGCAATGACTACAATACCTATCTTTATAAGAATGGTGACCTTAAGGTGAGTTTGGTAAACTGAATATTGTTCATATTTATTATAATTAACCCTTTGGTAGGTAATCTGTTCCTTCCCCTTATATTTGATTTACAATTTTAGTGTCATTAACTACCCATAAATTAAAATTTGGCATAAAATGGTTACTGTTGGTACCAACCAGGCTTAATTATTTAGTTTGGTTGATATAATTAAGGCTAGGGTCCATTTAATAAAATTAGCTGTTAGCTGTTTTACTAGCGTTTGACTATTTGAGTAGGTAGTAGCCGTTTAAATAACTTTTTATAAAATACTAAAAGCTAAATGAGTTAATCTTTTATAACTGTTACCTTAACTAGTTGGGATTTGTTCAGCAGAATTAGATGTTTTAGTAGCTGTTAACCGTTATAGTAGTATTTAGCTGTTTTGTTATTTGAGTAGCTTTCATGCAATGTAAAAGTTAAATGTTACATGAATTAACTTTTCATAAAATCCTACCTTAACCTCTAAAAACTAGTTTAAACATTATGTTACTAAACACTATAAAAAAATAGCTGATCAAAACGCTAAAAGCTACCTAAAATGCTGTTGCTGAACATACCATTGAAAGATTATGTTATCGAACAGTATAAAAAATAGTGAAAAAACTTTTGCCAAAAACCCTTAATGGTGGTTAAAAATTTGTTATCTATATTAAAATATAACACTTTTTTTTGGACATAGAAGCTGGTTTAAATCTAACTCAATGCTATCATTTTCTATAATTCACAGGATTTGCCAAAGTTCACAGCATCAATTATCAAACAACTTTCAGAGAACCTAAAAAGGATTAATGGTTTAGGAGTGCAAAAAATAGCAGTAACAGGATTGCAGCCTGTAGGTTGCTTGCCTGCATTTGCTGCCTCATCTTCATATCAAAACTGCAGTGAAAGTTGGAATAGAGCCTCTAAACTCCACAACCAGATGTTGAAGCAAGAAGTGCAGAAGTTGAACAATGACACCCACTCACAGAAACATGTTTTTGAAATTTTGGATCTATTTAGTGCATTCATGCATGCATTCAACAAAACACTGTATCCAGGTACGTGTGTTAATGTCTGGTGAAAGACTTACCAACTCTGAGTTTATGGGCCTATCCTATTTATATACTAAGTAATCGAAAACAAGCTTTTGGTGATAACCAGAGCATTTTTTACCATTTACTGGAAAAAAATAATAATAAAACAGTAATAATTTTCTTAAAAACTCTTTATGGATTGGCTTGATATTCGTGACCATACTAAAAATTGTTTCAATATATAATTTCACACCTGAATTTTGTTACTTTAACCTTATGGTACTATTTTTGTTTTAACCCATCAAACACTTGAAACTTATAAAATTACACATGTTAAATACTTCAATTTGTAAAATTATTTTATTAAACACTTCAACTTGCAAAATTAGATCAATTAAACACCTATTAAAAGTTGAAAAATGTGAAAATTATTATTTCAAAAACTATGCTAACTATATATCAAATAAATATTTTATGTATAAAAGCTAAAAGTCTTAAAAATTATTATTGTTAATATGGAAAACTGAGTAACGTTACAAAAATTTACAAGTTCAAGTGAATAATAGGTCATTAACAAAGTTCACGGCGCCAAAAGATTAAAGTTATAAAGTTTAAAACTGAATTAATGTATTTAGCAACTAAAAATCATATTTTACCGGGTAATGAATTAACATTTTATTTATAGTTTAGTATAATCAAAATTAAAAATATAACGTATGATTGATTAATATAATAATATTATTTCTTTTTTTCTTGGAATTCTTCCATTCAGAAAGCTTGAACTCTGAGAGTTCCTTGAAGCCATGTTGCGAAGGAGTGACAAGTGATTCCTCATGTGGAGACATAGACAAGAATGGAACAATCAAGTATGTGATATGCAATAACCCAGAGGTTTCAATCTTTTGGGATATAGTACACCCTTCTCAGAATGGTTGGTATCAAGTTTATCTTACTTTGAAATCTTCGCTTCACAAACTCTATTAGATGAGATAAATTTCTCCCGAGTCAGCTCCTCTGCTTCCGAGAGTGAGCGTGAATAATCAAATTTTACTGTAAATCGTTAAAACTGTCGTGGGTCTAGACATCTCATGCAAGTATAAAAAGAAAAAAACTCAATTAGATGAAATGCCTACTCTATTTGTTCGTTGTACTTGTTATTTTGTTTGGAGCAATTAAAATAGTTTTATGTTCTAATTTGATTATATAATGATGAATAGGTATATATAGAGTTATATTTGGATCTGCTCGAAGTTCGCCTATATAAAGAATTGCATAATATATGAATAATCATCAAATTTAGAATTTAATATTCCATCGTTGGATTAGAAAGTGCAATCTTTTTTTTTTTTTTTTTTCCTCAATTAGATGTAAAGCCTACCTATTTGTTCGTTGGTACTGTTATTTTGGTTTGGCAGAATTAAAGATAGTTTTAATGTTCGTATATCTTGATTATATAATGAATGAAATAGTAATAAATATAATTCTAGTTAATAATTTGGTATTCTGCTCGATTTTAGTCGCCCTATATTAAGGACTGTGCATAATATATTGGATATTATTCAGTTTTCGCATAAATTTAAGAATAATTTTAATATTCCCATCGTTTTGGATTAGAAGAGTGCAATCTTTTTTATTTTTTTTTTAGATGAACAAATGCACATAATATTTATTTTCATCACTTCAATTCCCTATCAGTCCATATTCGTCTTTCATTAAATTCATTTTGTGGTTGCGATTATAAGATAGAAACTGTAGAGCTAAAGATTTTTTTTTTTTTTTTTTTTTAGATGACAAATGCACATAATATTTATTTTCATCACTCAAATTCTATCAAGTAAACCGTCTTCATAATTCATGCGATTAAAGATAAAACGAACAAGAATATATTTATTCGCACGATCCTTGAAATAATTTACGATTTATAAGAAATTATATAAGAAAAAATTTATAAAACCAAAAGAATATGAAAAGAAATTTTTTATCTACTGTAATGACATTAATTATATAAAAAGTCAAAATGACTACAAAATCATATTTATATTTCTAATCATTCCATATTCCGAAATAAATGAATTCCATAAAATTTTGATAAATTAATATGTGAAAATCGAAATTTTTGTGTTTTGAATCAAAAGATAAACGTTTCAATTTTATGAATTTAATTCTATAGATTGAAAATTACTAGATCAAACTTTATTAAAATAAATGTAATTTCTAAATGAATTCCATAAAATTTAACCGGCAAAATTACCAATTTCTTCCTGCCTTTTAATTTTCTTGCATATGGTATCATTATAGTCTTATTCCAGATGGACCGGGCTAGTTCAACCAGTTGGTTGAACTATGAAGCACTTCAGATTTGACTGGATCAACCATTTTAACTTGGGCTTGATTTAATAATTGCTAAAATGTCTATCTTGTTTCAAAATGTATATATTTTCTCTTGTTATATATTATATAACTTTTTATTCAAAATTTACATTGCCGATGAAAATTATGAGTATTATTTGTTCAATAAGTTTAATTTTTATGTTATGTATATAATCTAGCTTAGTTTCTTAAAATAAATATTTTTCTCTTATATATAAATTAAGTTTATTCAATTAATATAAATCTATTATTTGTGATTTGTTTTAAAGAAATTATTATATCAAGAGCATTTTATGAAATAGTGAATGAATTTTCCATTCTAAATTAATTTCAAATATAATTATATAAAATTCAATTAAATTGCATATTTTTTAAATTAAACAAACCATAGTAAATATTCACAAAATTAAAATAGGAAATATTGAAAGGCAACTTTATACTTTGAAGAAAATGTTTTTAAGTGCCTTTTTCTAACAAAAATAAATATCTTACAACCAATTTACAAAGAATTGCAGATAATGGTGAGTAAAGGTCGAAATCGATAGAGACTAGGAATTAACGGTATTCTTTTTTAAAAAACCAGAAAAATTAACGAAAATAAATTGGAGGGTTTAATTGGAAAAATTAAATTTAAGTAAATAGAAGAAATTAAACTAAGAAAATCAATTAGAGAAATAATTCCAGCTGAAGGGCATCTTCGGACTAGTTCTATAGTGTTGATCATAGAAACAAAAATAGACTTATCAATTCATTCAATAAATCGATTATAGTTGCCAAAAAATGCTTCTAACAACTTAATCTTTCCGTAGTAATGGATGAAATAAGACAATGCACTATGAATAATCCCTTACCAATAATTAATCTTGACATGCGCCTAATATTAATTTGTTGACAACTTTAAGAATTAGAAAAACCTGATTCTAACTAATAAACCACATGCATAGCCTATTCAAGTTAGATATTATTTATCTTCATAATATAACTTGAAAATTTGGTTTTAATCAAGTTATAGTAATTGCTACAAATGTTAATTTAGTTAAACAATTAAAAGATTTGATTTTATTAACTAGCATTTATTGCTCTAACTTAACTAAATAATTGACCAAATTTATCTAATTAAATAGAATAACAAACATCCACTATAACCATTAAGAGCAAGAGAGTAAAAGAAGAACAAATCTCACAACATTTTGGTAGAACCAAGCCCTTGATTAAACCTTAAGTTGGAATAAATGTGTTTTAGCCATTCATGGCCATTAAACCTTACAAAATTAAACAATGTGCTTTGTAGAAAAAAAAAGAGATGCCCTACACTAACAACCTCTCCCTTTTTATACAGCAGGAGACAACATTATTCCCAAAATCAAATAAAAAAGATTACAATCAAATCAAAATAATAACAATAAAATAAAATCTTAATCTCCCTAATTCTAGTACTTCCAATAACCACCAAAAACCTTTCAAAACTGATGGTTGACATTGTCTTCTCAAGATGTAGACCAACCCCACACTTAGTTTTTTTGAAATGCCTTAAATTAGTTTAAATTAACCAAAATATCCCATGAAATATGACAACCTATCTCTTGTTGTCCAAAATTACTTTGAGAAATAAATTTCATATAAAATATCAAAATATATTACAACTAGAACTAGGAGGAGGCTCGCGCATTGCGTGGATTGCTTTATTACTTTGTTATTATACTTTGTATTAGATGTTACTTTTTATTGCACATATAAAATTAAATATTTAAAAATAAATAAATCCTACAACTTCAAAGAAATAAAAAGAAACAAATAAAAAAATCTCATATAGAATTACATATAGCAAATAAACACATAAAATATAACACCCTAAACAATAAACATTAGTTACAAATAAAGATATATAGAATTACTAATATGAAAGACATAAAAAAATTCCAGTCATATATAAAGATATATAGATGTAAAAGTAGATAAAATAGTATCTTTAATTATTCCTAAAAAAGGACACAAAAAAATTAAGCACATTCAATCTAAAACTAAAAAATATAATATTCAAATATAAATATAAAAATTAAATTAATTTTATACCAAATAATAAAATTTTTAAACCTAAAAAGTATATTATAAATGATCAATAAAAAATTTTAAATTGAAAAATTTAAAATTGAAATATAAATATAGATTATTATTGTAAATCAATATTAATTTTTAAAATATAATTATTTGATACAAATGATAATAAAATTTTAATAATAAAAATATTATTTTAACTATAGGCAGGTGTAGATATTCACTTTGCTATATATATAACTTTAAGTAAACAGATTTCTCTTGGCAAAATGATGATGATGATGATGTAAAAATAAATAAATAAAATTATACTTATATTTCTCTATTCAATTTTAGTGAAACTCTCTCAAAAGTCAAATACTCAAATCATGTAATTTACTGACTTAATTTTATATATTAATATATACTAATATATATATATATATTATATATATATAAATATATATATATATAATATATGAAGCAATGACTAAAAAAAAAAAAAAATTAATAATTTTCTACTATCTACTAAAAATATAATAAATTAAAAAATAAATAAATGGATTAATAGTGAGCTTTTTTTTTTCCTTCATCTCCATCAATATGATATTTCTCATACCTACATAATAATAAAAAAAGAAATCACATGATGCACAGAAAAAAAAAAAAGAGAAAACCATAAAAATTGCACAAAAAAATTTAAAAAATTTGAAATGTAAAAAAAAAGGAAAAAAGAGATCAAAGAACTAACATTATCTCAATCGAAAAAAAAGAAATTAATATTATTTGGAATGAAGTTGCAAAACTAAAAACCACACATATATACAAATAAAGAAATAAATAAAGAAAGCAATCAAAACTCAGAGAATTGAAAAGCAACGAAAAATAAATAAAAAACCAGTGGAAGAAAATCATTGGAAATGATTAATATGAATATGGACGGTATATATATAAATATATTATAATATAAAATTAAAAATTTTAAAAATTTTAATTTTAAATCAAAAAGACATTCAAAATTTTAAAAAAATGTTATATAAAACTAAAAAATTTTCGATTAAATTGTCAAAAATCAAACATAAATTAGAAAAATTTTAAAAGTTTTAATTCAAAATCAAAAACCTTTTAAATTATTAATTATTAAAATTTTGCATATGATGTTAGATAGATACTAGATATAGAAAATTTAAATATTTAAAAATTAATTTAAAAAAATTAGAAAATGTGGTAAAAAAAGAAAATAATGAATGTGAAAGGAATATGAGTGCCCGACATAAATCTTAATTTCGAATTTTTTTTTTTTTTTTTTTTTTTTTTTTTTTTTTTTACTTTTCAGAATTATTAATAGTATATATAATTCCACAAAATCTGATGAACACGAATAATGCAGTTGTTACTGATCTTTTCCATATACTTGGAATGGACTATTTCACCTTGATGGTTGCAACTTTTATTCTCCGTCTTAAATAGGAAATCTCATTCCGGAGTACTACTCAGTATGCACCTATCACCAATCTCACGTCGAAAGATGCGAAGTTGGCCGCCTATCGCTTGTGTTGTATTGTTTGTTCTTTGTTTTTATGTCTCTGAACTGCTCCATCTGTGAATATCGATCAGTCGGTTACTTTTTTTGGTTTTGTTCTCGGACCAGATCGCAGTTATTTATAATATGACCATAGGAATCAAGATAAGAACTGCTTTCTTTTAGACAAATGTTTTTTTTTTTTTTTTTTTTTTTTTTTTTTTTTTTTACTTCAGGATTATTTATATATATATATAATTCCCACTAA